CTGTAGCTGTTCCCATCATTTTACCCACACTTATGGCGAATTCAGCAGATGAAAGGAGGAACTTTTGCAGGCAGCACAATGATGAAAATGCCTTTTTATCTTCCCTCTTGGTGCAAAACTTTACACTTGGCGGCAGCGCACAGAGTATTTCAAGTGTGTGCTGACAGTGTATCTATTTCCATGGGTGCCTTTTGAGTGTGAGGAGTGGGTGAAAATGGTTTGTGCCATGTCTGGCTGCACATTAGTTTTGGCTGAGGCAAGGAAGATGTGTGACAAGCAAAATCCTTCTCCCCTGCTGTGAACAAGACAGTTATTGGTAAGGATTTGCTAAAGAGTTTAGATGAGCAATTTTGGGCATCAAAATGACTTGTAAACTGCTTGCTCTGACATTTCTGCAGTTGCCACTTGCGGTGTGTTACGGGTCACAGTTATCTGGTTTGCTCAGTGATTGAGTTACTGAACTTGAGGAAGACAGAGCTATAGGAATCTGCAGTGAGAGACAGAAACGATGGAGAGTGTGCTCACGTGAAGAGTTGTGCTTCCCAACACTGCTTTACAGAGATGTCTTCTCCCTGTTTTATGAGTGAAGAACCTGAGTTTGGAGCCCCAGGTGAATTGCTGCACTCACATAGGGAAGCAGAACAGGCAGGAAGAGAAGCTGGAATGCCTGACTCCACATGGAGAAGAGTTCAAATCTGGAAGTCTGACAGACAAATAAAAGTCAGTGCTAACCACTTGCAACTTCTCTTGTCCACAAGCACGTAGCAACACAAGGGAAGGAGCAGCAAAGTTGCTTTGCTTCCAAGGACCTCAAAGCACCATGAGAAGATTCCAGTGCCTGTTTACTTACTTATTTTTAGAAGTTCCCTTCAGTTTTGTTATTCTCTTCTTTTATCTGAGTTTTTGTTAGATTAAAGCGCTCTCGTTGCAGCGGACTCATGGCAACAAATTGACTTGAATGAGACTCTTCTTCTAGGAATGTAAGATAGGAAAGAAAAGTAAACCCAAACATGTGGGTTCATGTGGTCCTGACCCATCATAATGATGGAGGCCCGAGTGAGGAGTGAGTACAGAGTTGTTTGTGATTGTCTCCCTGAGTTCACTAGAGACTCTGCCTGTGACTGTAGGCATGTTTTGCTCAAACACAGTGTACATGTCAAAGAGACCATGTAATGGTTCTGAAGTTCGGACCATCTTCCTGTACTGGTTGATGTAGATGGTCCATGAAACCATTGCAGAGGAAGCACAGCAGCACAAGCTTCAGTGAGAATTGCCTACAGAAACACAGGTCCATGCTGACGGAGCTCCTGTGTGATGTCTTCTTGGAGGACCAGTGTTAAGTTAGTAACATTTAGCTATGACAGATGAACACTTGCTGCAGTCATACCTGAACCTGCACTAGAGACAGCCCTGACTAGGGCATACCTATACATCAAGTTCTACACTGCTGTAACAATAACTGTTAAGAAGCATTCCTAGTGGAACTGGCACAGCTCTAGTGGGGCGCAGATACACTAGTGGAGAGGCGATGTATGCTAATCCCATCATTACTGGGGCATTGACTGCCCTACATCAATTTCTGCAAAGGAGAGCTGGAGCAATCCAAAACCTGTCTGCAGAGATGGCCAGTGATTTAAAGACCTTAGGGCACGTTAACTCTGTGTTTGAAAGCTGTGAGTAGTGTGCACTTCAGCATCTCGTAAATTGGTTAAGACAGGTTCTACCTAGTCTTTAATTTGATCTTTCTAGCATTTATTAAAAGCAGTCACACCTTGATTACTTTAGACTCTTCTGACACATTCCTTCCAAAGGATTAGTTAACGTAAGCTGCCTAACCTAAAAAAGTTCTTGGTTTGTGCACCTGTGTTTGTATGTGCTTGTGAATTAAGGGAGAGACCCAGGGCTTATTCTTTTATGGCACTGTTTGACATTAGGCTGGCACATCTAATGGTGTGGTCACTGATGTTGTATTGGTTTAACCCAGCAATAGATTCAAGCCAGACCCAGGCTCTTCCATAGTCAGTTTTCCAGTTTGTCTTTCTGTTACTGTGACTGTAGGCGGGAAGGCAGGCAGGATGTTGGGGAAGCGGAATAGCAAAGAGTGATATACAAATGTTGGGATGCAGCCAAGCTTTAGATTAATACAACGTGACCATCATTTCACCATCCTCTGATACAGGGAGTTTTTCCTAGCAGTGAAGCACAGCAGCACAAAGGCTCTAGGGAAAAGAGAGGATCTGGTGGAGGCTTTCTTCTGCACTACACCTCTGGTATCTCAGGTCTTTCACAGCAGGTGGGAATTAGCAGTAACTAACCTCTGAGGAGAGAGCAGCAGTAGACAAGAGAGAAAGATGTATTTTTAACTGCAGTATGCATGAAGAAGTGTAGTTAATGCACAGGGAAGTAGAGGGAAGCTGTCCAACACCTGGAACTAAAAAGAAGGCAGCTCTTGCCTTAGAAGTAAAGGGTCAGAGAGAATGGTTACTACAACAGCAGCTTTGATACATAAGGCTTTATTCCATTGGTGGTTTCTGGAAGTGCTTTTTTTCCATCATGGAGCATCACTTGCATGTAGCTAAACTTGTTGCTTTCCAAAAGCTTTGCAGAGGAGGACAATCTCTTGCTGTATTACGGAGGACTAGAACACTGAGGTGTGAAGTCAGGAAAAATGTGCTGTTGGTTTTAATGGATTGTGCCCTTTTAACTTCTTGCTCTAGAGATCTCAGGGCTGATTCTGACCTAAGTTACCACAACAAACCTGAACTTCAGCCAGCAAGGGAGATGAATCCGTGCTTCTATCATCTGATAGGTTTTCCATCCCCTGTCAGCACATCACAAAGGAAGGTCATCACTTGGTGCACAAACAGCCTCTGGGAGTTGTTGAGGGTGATTCTGGCTGTGCAGTGTGTGCAGCAGCATGGAAAGGTCTCTGAGCTATAGGCCAGGTGACTGTTACAGCCCAGCATACCTCTGTACCAGACCAGAGGGAGAACAGAAAACGTATTCCCTGCATGGGAAGTTATTTAGAAGAACAGAGCAGCTAGTTTGGAATTAGTCCTTGCCTGCCAGATAAAACTTACTTGCTTTTCCCCCACAGAGATTGAATTCCTCTAGGTTTTGAGTACTTATCTCCTGGTGACATAGCTATACAGGGAAGGTGGTTCGGAAGAGGCATCTTGTGAGAACAGTTTGATGAGAAGAGAGTTTCTTAACCCACCATTGACTGAAATGATGGCAGTCAATGGTGGGTTAAGATGAAATTCCAGCATTAGGTAGGGATGTGTGCAATTTGTATCTCTGCTTTGTTGTGTAAGCTTGTGCTACCATGGCACTACTTTCACGAGAGACAGAAAAACCTCTGAATTCCAGTGCTGCTCCTTTTCCACTCCAATCAGTTGATGCAGAAGGCAGTTTGTATCAGTGGGATTAAAAAGGGTACAGCCCAGCAGTCCCTGAGAAAGGAGGTTTTCAGAGGCAAATCCCTTTCCAACATCCTCCTTCCCAGCCCTCCTCCCCTGAACACCCACCTGAGCCCTCCCTGCTGTTGCTTTTGCTGCTGGGCTGTCAAAATATCTCTGGTAATGAAGCAGTCTGGCCTGAGGCTACTATTACCTCCAATGCTGACCCCACTGAGCAGGACTCGGTGGCTGGCTGTTCACATGCAGTGAGCACGGAGCTGGGCCACACCAGGAATAAAAGGCAGAAACAATGAATCCTGGCTGCTAGACAGCCTTGATGTCCTCTGAGACTGGAAGGGACTGAGGAAGGCATGGATCTGGCTGGTCTGGGAGGTGGTGGTGTGGCTCTTTGGACTCCTTCCCTGTCTTTGGTAGGCTCAGTGATGTGGTAGGGACAGAGTTGTTGTTTTCCATCACTGGTGTGATAGTGTCAGGGTAATTCACTCCCAGTTAAAAGGCTTAGCACCCCTACTTCTTTGGGGGAAACAGTGTGATTCAATGGTTACTACACCAGCTGTTGAAAGACCTGGTTTATTATCTAAGCTCCTCTGGTGTACAGGACAGAACTTGGCTGGCATGGTTAGCTTTGGACTGTGAGAAGCTCATGCTACAGATTTGCTATGACAAGGTCACTAAGACCAGTGCTGTAAATGCATCTGTGCTGACGGAACATTGGATCTGTTCGTTTAGCAGAGGATCATCGTGCCAGGTGTGCCATCAGTGCTGGAATCCTGCAAAGACAGAAGCTCCGAGTTAGTCTCTGAACTCGGGCTGGTCACTGTACATGTTCCTGGGTGTCTCCTCCCAGCCTCAACCTGTCTTTCCTGTAAAGGGGCAGGGCCTGCATCTGCAGTGAGTTTTTCAAACACAGAACACAAAGGACCTTTGATCTCAGAAACGTAGAGGTTTTCTGTCACACATGTAAATAACAAATTACATTTAGAAAGGTTCCCCTGCTTTTACCAGAAGAATAATAATGGGGCATATACAGCGTAAGTAATTTGTTCATGAAAACAGTGATGGCATAAGGAGGAATCCTTATCTGTTAACTTCCATTCCTGTGCTTGAAGCACCATCTCTTCCTGTAAAATGCTGTACAGCACAGCTAGCTCTTTGCAGTTGCTGACCCATTTGACCTGAGAGGAATAAAGGATCCAGATTTTGTTTCAGCTTCAGTCTCCTGCTGTCGAAGTCAGGCATCCAGATAGAGCTCTTACACAATACAGAGTTCTGTATTGCAGTGGGGAGGGATAGAGAGGAATGTTTAGTGCTTTTAAGAGACTGGCAGGATCAGCCTGAATCTGTGCCTCTTGAATGCCCCAAACTTCCCTTAGCTCACTTACATGTGTGCAAGAAACCCTGCCTGGCTCAGGCCATGCACCTGGTATTAAGCCACCATCACGAGGCCTTACTCTTCCGGTGCTGGACCTCTGCATAGCTTTAGAGGTAAAAAGCAACTGGGTTTATATGCAGTGAGGAATTCCCATGGCAAGTCACCTTTTCCTTTAAAATATAAGGTAAATAACAGCTCTCCGGGTTAGAAAAGGTTTCATAGAGCTGTTTATTGGGGGAAGATTGGATGGTAATGCAAAGTGCTGTTGATATTTGAGTGTGCGTCCAAACCACAGAGATCTGAGGAGTCTGGAAGTACCACAGGATTTGTTCCTGGAGGATGAAGGCTGGTCTTGTTCTGCTCTCCTGTGACCCCTCCTGGAGGGAGACTTTGGAGAAGGCTGTGGCCAAGCTCTCTCTGTGCTTGGAGGTGAAGCTGTCATCAGGAACAGAGGCGGAATCAGAGCAGTAACTCTTACGGCTGTATAAAAGAAAGCAGGCTTTGAGAAAAAATACCCACTCCCCTAAAAAGTGAACACAAATCAGTGCCATGAAGCCAAGTTACAAAGAAGGTGGAGTCAAAAGAGGGCTGAAGTAGTTCTAAGCCTGGGGCAGGTTGCTCAATGTAGTTCTAGGTGTGAAGGTTTTCTGGGACTGTAGGGCCTTCTCAGCAAATCTCCATCCAGAATCCTCTAACATGCTCCCACAGAGAAGCCTGTGTTACCCAGAGCCTCTTCCAAGCATTTTCCTTGGCTCATTAGGTGATAATAGAAAGTGATTTTTCCTCATCATCTTGAGCAATCAGAAGCATTAAGAGCAAGAGCCTAAGCCTGAAAGCCTAAATGAGAGGTTTGATGTGTGTGTATGTGTGTCTGCCTCTCTCATTAGAGCAAGAAGCAAGGATGGCTCCCAGAGCTTGCATTGCTTAAGAATAAATAGGCAAGAAGGAAGGATCATGGTCAAGTAGCGTCAAGAGAAAACTGTGATTTGGGGCCTAGATTCCATGCCCAGATGTGCAGAACCTCAGGCAGTTCCCTCTGCCTTTACTGATGTGAAGCAATAGCTTGTCCCACAAGTGGTCTGTCCATTAGTGGGCTTTCTGTAGAGAGGGGTCACCTGAGAGCTAAGGGGGCAAAAATACCACCTGCAGGATCTCAGCCAAACCTGTTCCATGATTCTGTGACATCCTGGGACAAAGCTAGGAACTTCCTGTTGTTGTGGTGGGAACTTCAAGCCACAACTTACACAGAACTGTCACTGTTCTGCCAGCGTGTAAGACTTGTGGGGCTTGGTTCTTACACTGTCTTTAAGGGGATAACTTACTTTTATTTCCCTTCCAGGTAGGATCCTTCCTGCAGTCGATCGTACTGAGCATCCAAAGGTAGGGAACTCCCTCTTGTTGATGTGTAACCACCACACAACTTAATTTGGAATCATGTTGTCCTCTCAGGGCACTTGCATGTGGATTTTGTGCCATGGCTTATAATGGAAAACCAATTTACACCATTCTCCCAAGTTGTGCTGTATCATTGTATGGGGAAGGAAAAGGCTTTGGTGGTTTTTGCATGGGTTGTGCATTGTTGTGCATTGATAAGACAAGGGGAATGGCTTTAACCTGCCCGAGGGGAGACTGAGATGAGCTCTTAGGCAGAAGCTCTTCCCTGTGAGGGTGCTGAGGCGCTGGCACAGGGTGCCCAGAGAAGCTGTGGCTGCCCCATCCCTGGCAGTGTTCAAGGCCAGGTTGGACACAGGGGCTTGGAGCAAGCTGCTCTAGTGGAAGGGGTCCTTGTCCATTTGGAACTGGATGAGCTTTAAGGTCCCTTTAACCCCAACCACTCCGTGATGTTACCCTGTTCCCGCATGGGACATTCACCCCTCCCAGCAGAAAGCCCTCCGGAGCCGGGGGAGCCCCCGATCCCTCCTCCCCGCTCCGTCGGCTCCCTCCTCGGCGCTGTCCCCGCCGCCCGTCGCTCACCCCCTCGCCCGCCGCCCGTCGCTCGCAAGCGCCTCCGCTCTTTAAATGGGCCAAGTTGGGGAAGCGGCGGCGGCGGCGGCGGGCGGTCGGGTTTGGGCAGTGTCTGAACTACCCGGTGACTTCTGAGCCCCGATCGATAACTGCCTGTGCCGGCGCGGCGGGGCGCTGCGGGCCGGGGGGCAGCGTGCGGCGGGGCCCTTGTTACAGTGCGTGTCGGTGTGTCCGTGCGTGTGCATCGGGATCCATCCCTGTGTCCGTCCTGACATACACGGGTTTAACATGTGCGGGAGTGGGAATTAAACACACACACACCCCCAGTGTGCTCATAGAGCTTCGGTGGGACCGGGCGCGGCTGCACTTCGCAGGTGGAGCTGCGCAGCCCCCGGCAAACTTCCCCGTCCGGGAAACGGGAGGACCGGGACCACCGGGCACCGCCGAGCCGGCTCCGTGTGCTCCCTGCGGCCGGCGGGCGCCGGCGGCGAGGGGCGGGGAGGGGCTGGCGGCGAGGCGGCGGGAGCGCAGCGTTTAATTTTAATTACTGCATATAAATAAATAACCCAGGTGTCAGTTTAAAGGAAGGAAGAAGAAGAAAGGGGGGGGGAGGAGGGCGAAAAGGGGGGCTGGGTGGGCGGCGGGGAACCCTCCAGCCTGGTGGAAGGTGGGTCGATGTGGGGGAATCAATAAGCTCTTTTTTTTTTTTTTTCCCTTTTTCTTTTTTTTTTTTTTTTTTTTTTAACCAAAATAATGTCTACGGCAGCAGAGACCTCTCCGAGATGTCAGGTATTGGTCCGGAGGGGCTGATCTGCGAGCCACACAGCAGCTCCCGGGTCTACGGTACATTAGCCGCCTCTCCGTGGGAGAGGGATCCCAGACAGCTCCGCTGGGGAGCCAGCCCAGGAGATTTGTTAGCGGGCTGCTCCGGGGGATCCCAGCCACCTCCGGCACCCGGGCGCCAAAGGTGCTTGTGCTGCTGCTGCTGCTGCTGCTGCCGCTGGCGCATTTCATCCCAACTCCAGCCAGAGCGGGGGCAAGTTGAACCGGAGACATTAGAGCCACTGTGCTTCGGAGAGACGGGGGAGCGCGGCCGCACCATGCCTGCGATCAAGAAGGAGCGACTTGACAGGGAGGAGATGGCCCTGGCAGCTTTTAACCAGCCCATGGAAACCTTACCTGACTATCTCGCCCCACTGGCCGCCGCTGCCATGCCGGTGGTGGCCCCGCACCCGCCGGCTTACGACCAGCTCTTTGCCCCCCGTGCGTACCTGGGCTTCCATGAGACCCACCGCCCCCACCCGCATCACCCGCACCACCCCCACCACCTCCCCGAGGACCTGATGCTGGAGAGGTTTTCCTCCATCCCGGATTTCCAGCCCTTCTTTGACAACGGAGAGCCTTGCATCGAGGTGGAGTGCGGGGAGAACAAGGCGCTGCTCTACATCAATAAGTTGTGCCAGGGGAGCAAAGGACCCTCCATCCGGTACCGGGGAGAGTGGCTCACCCCTAACGAGTTCCAGTTTGTCAGCGGCAGGGAGACAGCCAAGGACTGGAAGCGCAGCATCAGGCACAAAGGTAAAGGCGCTGCTCGCTGTGTGCGGGGCTCCCGGACGCGGCGTCGTCCCCCCCCCTCCCTTCCCTTCTCTCCCTCCCACCCGCGGGTTTCGGAACCGGGATCCGCACGGGAGCCGTGCTCCCACCGCCGTTCGCACGGGGAGAGCCGGGACATGAGTTCCCCCACCGTGCCCCCCGGTCCCCATCACTCCCCCGGCTCCCCTCTCCCGTATGTGCCCGGTACCGGGCTCTCCGCAGTAAGTTTTCCAAGCGATTGGGAACAGTTGTTCGGGGTTATTTTGGAAGGGGGGGGGGGGGGGGGGGAATGCTCCTCTCTCCCGGAGGGAACTTTGCCCGGTTGGACACGGGGCACAGCGCGCCTGCGGGCGCCGCTCGGCGGGGCGCGGAGCCGCCGGTGCCGGTGGCGGCAGCGGGCAGAGCCGCGGGGAGCGGCCGGGCGAGGACAGGCCCCGGCGGAGCGGCGGGCGGGGCGCGGGGGGGAACGAGGGGGGGTGTTCCCCGCAGCTGGGTGGCGGCGGGACCTCCGCGGCGGCCCTGCCTCCATCCATCCCTCCCTCCCTTCCCTCCCTCCTTCCCTCCCCTCCCGCCCGCGGCGCAGCCCGAGCCAGCGCCGCAGTCCCGGCACCCGGAGCTGCCGCTGGTGCTGGCGGCAGGTGGAGAGCGGGGACCCGGCTGGCCCCGGGGCGGGGGCTGCGGGAGGGGGGGGGGGGGAGCCGGTGCCGCACGCAATTAGCGGAGGGCGGGAGGTGTCAGGCCGGGGTCCGCGGTGCTGCCGCCTCTCCGGAGGGAAGGGCAGTAACTTGGTGCCGTTACGCCGCTCTCTGCTGCTCGTTCACTGCCGGGCTCCCGGGAGATGCCGGTTCCTCCGGGGTGAGTGAGGAGCACCGAGTGACACGCACGGAGCAGCGGAGGGGGGGAGGCACGGAGCGCGGGTTGCGCTGCCCCTCGGTGCTGCGGGGCGCTGCGGGGGGCAGGCGGCGGTGGGAGGGGTGTTTGCATGGAAGCAGACGCGTGCTGTGCTCCCCCCCCTTTCCTAAAGCCTTTTACCAACGTGCTGATCCTCTTTCTTCTTTTCCATCTGCATACAGGGAAAAGTTTGAAGACTCTTATGTCCAAAGGAATCTTACAGGTACATCCTCCAATCTGTGATTGCCCTGGGTGTCGAATTTCGTCTCCAGTGGTAAGATTATTGTTAAACTATGTGCTTTAGTTAAGACATCTCCCCTCTCCTCCTCCTCCTTCCCTTAAAAACCCATCCCTTTGCTTCTGTGGTCATGAAACCGGGATCAGTGTGGGCTGGGAGCTGTCAGTCCCGAGTGTGTGCACCACAGGCCGGCAAAGGAGTCTGCCAACAGATCAGTGTGTGACCTGGAGGATGCAGCACCCGGTGCCGTTGTCTGGTGTTCAGGGGGAGTGCGGACACCCAAAATGATACTTATAAACCATCCATCAGCCTCTTCCCTATCCTCGCCCCTTCATTTTAGTGGATTTGCCAAGGTGTGAAGTGGCTGAATAAAGCAAAAGGGAATTATAATAGAGTCAGAACAGCCACAGGTTACCAACCATTAGTGAATTTCTTCAGATAAGAGGAACAAGCTTAAACTGAGCACTTGTGACTTCTGCAGCATTCATGTCATAGATCAGTTACTGCTTTTACAGTTGCTCTTCCCAGCTTTGGAGTTCCTTGTGGTTTCTGCTGTCTTGCCTTTACCCTGAGACTTTCAGAATCTCTATAAAGCATCTTCATGAAAAAGATGTTGGTGATGTAAATAAAAAGCTACTGAAATTGTAGTAAACTACAGGCATTAAAACCAGTTCATCAGGTGTAAAAATAGCCATAAATGCAATGACAGGACGACAGCGCTGCTGGTTTGTGGAACTAAAGCAGCTCTGGGTCTGAAATAACCACCATGACTTAAAACACTGTGAGTAGCGCTGGGGAACGGCTGCTGCTGGGAAGTTCCGTGCTGTTATCCACTGAAATCAGCCATTTCTTGGGGATCAAATGGGCAATCTCTTCTCACCGGCAGTATCTTTATGACGCTGCGTGACAGGATTGTGTATTTAATTCATTCCTGCCTAATGTCTGTGCCGGCATGCTTCTGTGTACAGATACAGTCCTGGCTTCCACGTGTGTGCCTGCATTGACACGGGAAGGGCCTTAGAGCAATAATCAAGTTACATAAATCAATGTGAAGGTGCCACCTGTGTGATGTGAGTCTCCTGTTTGTGTAGCAGTGGTCCATTCCAAAGCAAGCACTGCCTAGTGAGCTTACAAGTACTTGCTGTACTGAAGCATCACCGTGGTATTTAAACCCAACAAACCACTTAGACCCAATGGACTTGTGCACTTCCTCTGAGTTGTAAGGCGAGGCACGATGTGGTGTAATGAGCTTTCTGCAGGTTTGAGTTTTGCATGTGATTTAGTTGCCCATTGTGTGGGTCAGAGGCCGGTGACCAGCTATCTGCAGGTCAAAGGGATAGGCCACAGTTGCTGGTGGTGTTGGGAAGTTTCTGGCCAGTTGACGTGGTCTGCTGGTTGCTTTCTGCATCCTGAGTTGCACTGGGGGTAGCTGGAATGACACACTGTGCTTTCCTCATGTTTTCAGTAGTCACACAGGGATGTTGTGCATCTACAGATGGGAAGGCAGCTCTGTGTGAAGCAAGTGTCTTTAAAAGTGGTTGGGCTGGTTCAGCCTGGAGAAGAGAAGGCTCTGGGGAAGCCTTAGAGCAGCTCCAGTGCCTAAAGGGGCTACAAGAAACCTGGAGAGAGCTTTGGATAAAGGCTTGTAGGGACAGGCCAAGGGGAATGGCTTTAACCTGCCCGAGGGGAGACTGAGATGAGCTCTTAGGCAGAAGCTCTTCCCTGTGAGGGTGCTGAGGCGCTGGCACAGGGTGCCCAGAGAAGCTGTGGCTGCCCCATCCCTGGCAGTGTTCAAGGCCAGGTTGGACACAGGGGCTTGGAGCAAGCTGCTCCAGTGGAAGGGGTCCCTGCCCATGGCAGGGGTTGGAGCTGGATGAGCTTTAAGGTCCCTTCAACACAAACCAGGCTGGGATTCTGTGATTGTATGAACTGAACTGGACAAGTTCAGATGAAGGAAGAGAGTTTTGAGAAGGGTGAAATAAACCCATCTGAGCTTGCCTCCTACCACATCCCCATCCTTATAAATGAGTTAGAGGAGGGTTGGTATCAGAGTTTGCAGAGTGAGGACAAACTCCAGTAAGAGCTTTTATCACATTTCTTGTTTCTGGGTGCTGGCTGCGTTTTCTGTGCTGTAGTTAGGACATACATTTGACCAAGGGACAGATCCCCATTTTGAACCCGGAATCCTTTTTATGTCTTGTCCCAGCTACGTGGACTACCCATTAAGCAGTTACCCAAGGAAGAGGGTTAAAAATGGAGTTTTTAACACAGTTAAAACACAGTTTATCTTTAGCTGTTCAGTGATCACCTCTTCAAGCACCACTGGGATCAAAGGGCTGTTTCCTCTCAAATGTAGAAATACTTTGTCTTTTATAGTGTATTTTATAGGTATATAGAGACCTGCAGTGCCTGGCTCCTGCTCCTGTGTTACCACACGGGGGTATGGTGCCGGGGAGCTGCTCCTAAATCAGTCCTTGGACAGCGGGAATAGGCCAGGAAAACCTATCCGGGGAGGGAGCCAGAGCGGACCCGTGTGTCCATGTGTGTGTGTGTCCCCATCCCGGCTCGCTGCCGCCTGCTCCGGCTCCCCGCAATGAAACCGCGCCCGGCGGGGGGACCCCGTTCCCCCCCAGGTCCCGTTCCCTTCCGCCCGGCCCCGCCGCCCCCCGCCGCCCCGTCGCAGCTCGTTTGCTGCAGCTGCAGACAGCGGCCGGCGCCGGGCCCAGCTCCGCCACCGACCGCCGGTTTCCTGCAGGCGGAGGGGAGCAGCCGGTCGCGCTGGCGCCTCCTCCCCCGGGCCGGCAGCAGCCATCAATCAGAGGCAGGAGGGATGCGGGGGGGGGTCCCGGGAATGGGCGAGCGCCGGAGGCTGCCCCCGGGGCCGCTCTGGGGGCCGGCAGGGAAGCGGTGCCTGTGTGTGCTTTGCTGCCTGCTTCCCCTCCCCAGCTCTGCAGAGACCCCCGCTGAGCCCTTCAGGAGCGTGGCTGTGCTGCCGGCATCCCTGTCCCCTTGGCTTTGTACCCTCGCCTGTGCTCCAGAGCTACGCAGCTGTTCTCTCCATCTCCACTCTCCAGGCTGGGGTTGGAGGTGTCCTCACTGGCACTGGTTATCTTAGCCAGAGGGAAGAAGCAGCCTAAATGGTCTTGAGAACAGCATTAAAATCGTCATTGCTAAAACACAGTGCCTTTGATTGGCAAAGTCCAGCATCACCTATCCAGTGTCACAGAGGAGCAGCATTCCGTGCAATGGATATACTAAAGTTGTTTCCCTTGTCAGTGTGACCCATACTGTGTTTTTCATACTAGACATGCTGCCTCTGAAAGTACCTTAGAACCGGGCACTGGCTGCTCCTCATCCTCTTTTCCCATCTTTTCTTGGATGGGGTCTCTGAAAGGTAGCCCATGTTGGAATATGAGGGTAGAGAAGGTGAGTTTTCAGAAGGCTGTCATGATATGGCCATATTCAAACAGAAAACATGACACAGTGATGGGGGCTTTGCCGCATCTCCCTCGTTGCCTGTTACACACAGTGATCCTGCACAGCTTGGGCACTGGCAGTGGAAATTCATTTCCTTACTGGGGCTGTGTTTTGCTCTTGGTTTTATTTACATGTGCTTCTATTTATCTGCTGCTTTTTGCTTCTCCTCGTCATCGTTGTTGTTTTCTTTTGCTGCCCCTGAGGTTAAGGCATGAGTCCAAGGCTTTGTCAAGGCTGGGAAAAGTAACTTCAAAACCTGAATGCCAGCAGCCAGCAGGACCTCTGGTATTTAGCCCTAAGAGTGAGCTTTCTCCTGCCTTCCTGTCTCAGAGGGGCAGGGTGGAGGCAGCTCCACATCTACCCTGGAGCATGGCGTCCTGTGCGGCTGCAGCCACACTGCCTGCACTACCCAACGATGCCCTCCTGGACATCAGCCTGCTCCATGGCTTTGCCTGGAAAACTGGGCTGGGGGAAGGAACGGAGATTCCCTGGGCTATGGAGCTGTGGGATCCATCAGAGGCTGGCCCAAAAAGGGGAATCTCACCCTGGACATGAGTCTTTCAAGTGAACTTTCCTCTGAGAAGAGCACTCTGCCTGCTGGAAGATGTAGTTGGCTGCCTGTAGAGGCAGGATTAAGCCTGAAATTTTGCTTTTAACTGACTAGATTAGATTTAGCTGCTGTAGACTTAAAGAGTGGAGCTGGAGAACCTTAGGGTTTATGTGAAGGGGGTTGTTTTCATAGCTTTGCCTTTGTGTCCCTGGGGGCTGCCTTATGAATGTGGAAAAAGCCCCTCTGCAAAGCAGACTTATAAACCTTGTTATCCCCCCAAGGTCTTTGGCACAGTCTGTTGAGTTTTATTTGTGGTTTCATGCTGATTCGGATTGTTGCTTTTAATCCAGCACATTTTAGGTTGGCTTTTGTTGGAGTGGTTTGAGTTGGTTGGGGTTTTTCTGTTTGTTTCTGGGGGTTTTCTGGTTCTGTTTTGGGTTTTTAATGGATTTCACTCAAGTCATTTTTGGAGCGTGTGTGCTGCTTTGCAGGCTTGTAAGTTAAACTTGAATCCTTAACAAAAGTCTGTTCAGAATGTGACAGACATCACCTTTATGGAGAAGCTGGAGGTGAGGTATGTTGTGCTCTCAGATGGGGAGAGACTCACACATCCCATGAGGACTGGGGAGAGAGATGCTGAGCCTGAGCCCACAGCCTCAGCATGTAGGGCTTCTAATTCAAGGGTACGTGTGTGTCTGCTTCCCTCCCAGGAGCATCCCTAAAATCAGCTGCGCTTGGGTCAGCCAGCATTTCACAGGGGAAAGCTTGACAGCTTGGAATGGGAATCAGTGTGGCAGTTACTCCTGCTGGTCCTGAGACTCATCTCAGGAGCAGGACACGCTGCAGTAGCATTATGTGCACTGCCAGGGATTGGGAAGACGGGATTGCACCAGTAAAATGAGTAGTTATTATTTTACACAGAGGCAGAACAAACGCAGATCACTGGCACTGAGAGTGCCAACACAATACTGAAGGATTTAATTTTGTGGATTATTAGATACCCTCTGGA